TTTCCCCCTTTGCCCTCCTCCACCCAGCCCAGCCTACCCCTGGTCTCCCACAGTCAATTCCCACACTGTTGTCTATGTAAGCTTTTCTTTTTTTAAAAAAAAAATTTATTTATTTATTTTTAGAGGGAAGGGAGAGGAGGGAGAAAGAGAAGGAGCAAAACATCCCCCGACAGGACCAGAAACCTTTCATTTTGTGGGATGATGCCCAACCAACTGAGCCACAGGGGTAAGACCTGTTTAAGCCTTTCATATGCCATGCATATCAACTGTGACTCACCACAATCCTCTAGGGTAGACAGTAGTATTATCATCACCCCCAGTCTACAGATGTGAAATCTGAAGCATAGAGAATTTGTGTTACTGTAGTGTAAGCCCTGACTGTTCCATTTTGTCTTTCTTATAATGCACGTGCCTGACTTAAGCTTCTATTGCCAAAGCATCCACTTCAAAGAGGCATTCACTTGAAAGTTGGCTGTCTGAATAAAGCACATCACCAGCTACTTAAAGAATCAGAATCTACCCTGGCTGGCATAGCTCAGTGGATTGAGCGCGGGCCTGTGAACCAGAGTATCACAGTTCGATTCCCAGTCAGGGCACATGCCTGGGTTGCAGGCCAGGTCCCAGCAGGGGACGCATGAGAGGCAACCATACATTGATATTTCTCTCCCTGTCTCCTTCCCTTCCCCTCTAAAGATAAATAAATAAAGCCTTTACAAAATAACACATATTTTAAAAAAAGAATCAGAATCCCCCTCATCCCTATCCCAAACTTCTTTGTTTCAGGGATCTTGGCTGATTTCCATAACTGAACTTTTGGACCACTAGTTTTTTCCCTTCCCCAACTTCAAATTCTTCCCTTTGTGTTTTAAATTCACCAATAAAGAGAGAGCCCACAAAATCTTAGCCCGGCAGCTTCAGTTTAATCAAAGCCGAACTCCAGGCCCACATTCTCTCTCTCTGCTGTACCTGCGATCTGTGTCATGTGCTTTCCAGGACCTGTGAATAATAAACCTCGCCCCCACCCCCCTGCCAAAGTTGCCCAGTGGTTAGAGCTCAGGGTGTCTTTCAATCATAAGAAGCACAAGGGCCAATCCAGCCACATTGGTGCTAAGACTGGCACAACAACACTTGTCCAAGCTCCCTGGGCTCATAGAGGCAAGATGGGATTTGAACCAGGTCTGTCTGAGACCGAAGCCTGAGTTCCTGAGGCCCTTTCCTGCCAGTCTTCCTGTCTCCCTCTTGGAATCCTTTTGCTCCAACATCCTTTCAATGGTGGCTTTCTCCAGGATATGTCCTTCATCACTGCTCTTCTCAGTTGTGCACCGTGAGTAAAGCAGGTGTTCTAATGCTGTTTCCATGTAGCTGCACTGGCATCGTTTTATGCCCAAATGACCCTGTCAGTATGGAGGGAACTCTTTTTTTTTTTTTTTTACAAGTCCCTGAAGCTTACTCCACCTCTGCTCCCCAGCCCAGTTTCAGGGAGGCTTTCCATTTCTACTTATTTGAGTTTTTATTACAGTAGTTCCCTCATATGCACAGGGAATGCATTCCAAAACCCCAGTGGATGCTTGAAACCACAGATAGTACCGAACCTTATATAGACTATGTGTTTTCCTATACGTACGTACCTGTGATAAAGTTTAATTTATAAATTAAGCAGAGTAAAAGGTTAACAGTTAGTAATAAAATGGAACAATGATATTATACTATAATAAAAGTCATGTGAATGTGATATCCCTCTCTCAAAATATCTTCCAGTACTGTATATACTGTACTCACATTTTCACTTAAAAGCACTTTACAGCTTCCCTTTGCCATATCCAAATTGCCAGCATCCCTATTCTTGTGTTTTGGGGTCATTATTAAGTAAAATAAGGATTACTTGAACACAAGCATGGCGATACTGTGATACTCAATTGCATCACCGAGACAGAGACAACTACTAAGTAACAAACACAAGCTTAACGAGTACAGCATAGATGTCCAGGACAAAGAGATGATGTAATCCGGGCAGCACAGAGTGGAGTAATGCAAGAGTCTATCATGGTACTGAGAACAGTGTGCAATTTCAAAATGTGAATTGCACCCTGGCTGGTATAGTTAAGTGGGTTGAGCACTGGCCTGTGAACTAAAAAGTTGTCAGTTCGAGTCTAGTCCGGGCACATGTCTGGGTTGCAGGCCAGGTCCAAGATGTTTCTCTCCCTCTTTTTCTCCCTCCCTTCCTCTCTCCAAAAATAAATAAAATCTTTAAAAACTTATGAACTAATTATTTCTGGAAGTTTCTATTTAATATTTTCAGACTGTGGTTGATCACAGGCAACTGAAACCGTGGAAAGCAAAACAAAAGATAAGGGGGACCACCGTATTTTATTTTCTATGAATATATATCATATTTATAATGAACAAAAACAGTAAGGATGTTACCAATATAATGGGAGTAAATTGGCCTCTAAAAGGCTGTATCAGTTCAGTCACAAACTCCCATCAAGGTGTTTTGCGATTTTATATATGCTGAAGGTATATAACTGAGAACTGAGAGAAATTTAACTGAGGAGATCCTGAGCAACATGCAACTCAGACTAGGCACTCATATTGTGACCCAAATATCCCCTTCCCTAAGGGTCTAACTCATTCTCGACCAAGTAAGATGAGAACAAAAAATCCCAGCACCGGGATGGGAGGGATGGGGGGAGGGAAAGGCAGAAAACTGTACTCGAACGATAAAATTCAAAAGTATTTTTTAAAAAACAGCATGGATACAACTGGAGAGCATTATGCCAAGTGAAATAAGCCAGGCAGTAAAAGACAAATACCATATGATCTCATCTATAAGTGGAACCTAATCAACAAAACAAACAAGTGAGCAATATAGAACCAGAAATAGAGCAATACAGAACACAGAAATAAGAAACAAACTGACAGTAACCAGAGGGGAGGAGGGAGGGGGGAAAGGGTGGAAAAGGGGGAGGGACTAGTCAAAGAACATGTATGAATGATCCACGGACATGGACAACACGGCAGGGATTGGCTACAGGAGCAGGGAAGAGGGAAAAATAAGGACAACAGTAATAAATTAACAATAACATAATTTTTTTTAAAAGCTCATGAAAAGCAGAGGTGTCCTTTGTTTAGAATTTCAAATGGAAAACAGAAATAAGTTCAACTTTTAAGAAGCCAAATATATTCATTATAAGGAAATTAGTATGGCTATTGTAACTTTAAGGGAGAAATAAGATCATTTGGGATAGAATTCATCTAAGAAGCAAGAGAATCCTCAGAGAATGAGCAGATACTTCACTCAAAATGATGAATGACTTTTTCTCGATGAGCATGTGTGGCAACCACGTGACTTCCAGTTCAATGTAGATGGAGCCTGACCCTCAGCCCATCCCTGGCCCCAGCCCACATCACATCCTAATCCCTGAGCTATCTTCCCCCATCCTTCACACACCCTTCTCAAACACTTCGGACCTCCTCCTACCTCTCTGCTTACTCCTCTCTGCTGTTCTATCTCTTTAGCATGTCTTTTCCTCCTATTGCTGACCTAGCATCGCAAGGTTTTTGTCTTTCACTTAGTGTTCATCTCGCTCAGCTCTGATCTCTAGGTGATCTTACACGTGTCACTTACCACCCACACCTTCTTAACACAACTCTCTATTTCCCTCCCAGACCCTTTCCTGACCTGTAACCCTGTATATTCAGTTGCGTCACTCTGAAGGTCATCATGCCTCTGGATGGTCCATAGACAACTCAAACTCAACATGTTCAAAACAGAGCTGATTCCTGTCAAAGCTGGTTTTCTTATCCTCTCTTACTGAGTGCCACCATCATTCGTCTACTCTCCAAAGCTGAAAACACAGGCCTCATTGCAGATTTTTCTGAGCTTTCATAGCCCTAGTCCAAGTCTTGTTGATTCTACCTACTTAATATTTATCAAATCTGTCTCCTCAGCACCTGATTTACCTGTGGCCAAGTCCAATTGGTCCAATAGTCCCCTAATTGATCTTCCTACTCCCCAGTCTATCTCAAAGCACCTTTTTCAAAAGCCAGTCAGATGATATGATTCTCCTCTTGAAACCTTCCAGTGGCTCCACACTTGCACGTTCTATAACTCCCTCCAGGAGTTGGCTCTTGCTACCTTTCCGGGATCATCTGCCTCACTTTTCCCACCGCTTACTCCAAGCACTAGCTCAGGGGCAGACTCAGCTTTTGTGGAGTGTTAAGCTTACACAATCTGAAGGACCTCCAAGAAAGATAATATAACATTATGACTAAAAATTACTTACAGGGCCTTGAAAGAGGCCTGTGAAAGTGAGAACACTAAGGCTTAACTTTCATTAGATTCACAGTAATTCTGCCCCTGGTCTGGCCAAACGGAGCAACCTTCTGCTCCCTAGAACATACCATAATCTCCCACATCTCCTTGCCTTTGTACAACGAGCTACCCCTGCCTGGCATGACCTTCCCTTTCTGCCCTTCAAGGGCCAGCTCAGTGGACACCTCCTCTGTGAAGTTTTCCCTGACTTCCCCACATGGAATCAGGTGTCCTCTCCTTTATGTTCTCATTGGAATCTGTCCTCTACCTCTTTGTACCCTGCCCTTTACAGAGCTTATCACTCTCAATGGAACTGATTTGTTTAAAACCAGTCTTTCCTGTGAACATGTGAAGGGCAGAGACAATGTCATTCCTTTTCAGATCGTCAGAGCATAGCAGCACCTGACACAAGGCAGGAGCTCACTGAATGTTTGCTGAATGCAATGGAGACCTCACCGGTACATACTGGAAAGATATGCGTGCTTTTGGCAAAACATGTAGAACAGTTGTTTTAGATAGGGACCCTGGGTGGAGGTGGCATTGATAAGGGATCTGCTGTTTGCCCTTCACCATCATGAGAGAAGGTCTAGGCAGGACCTTGACATCTACGGTCTCTCCAAGATCATTGTAGTGAGCTATTCCCCATGGCCTCCCGCCAGCCTCCCCACCGTACCACCTTCCTTACCTGTCCTCCTTGTTGATCTGGTCCCCAAAGCCAACTGTGCTTACGATTGTGAGCTTTAGCCCCACATTGCTCTCTTGGAGGTCATAGGTATTAGACCGAAGCTGGACACCTGGCTGTGTGTGGGTGGCTGGCTCCCCCTCGAACTTGGTGTTGAACAGGGTGTCCATGAGGGTGGACTTACCCAAACCTGTCTCTCCTAAAAAGCAAAAGGATAAATTATGGTCCATTCACACAGTGAGCGTGAAACCATTCCACATCATATTTTAGATGCATATTCATCAACGTGGGAAAATGTACATGATAAGACACTAAGTGAAGAGCATATAGAAATATGGACTGTTTGATCTCAGTGAAGTAACAAAACAACTGAAAAGAACTGCACCAACACATTAGCAATAATCATCACAGGATAATGGGATCGGGGGACTTTTCCTTTTATTCCTCTTTTCTTGTTATTTGAAAATTTGGTATGCACTGGGTTTTTTTTTTTTTTGCAATTTTATTTAATCTGTATTGTATTTTTTCCATTACCTTTTAGTCCCCTAACCCCCCCTTCCTCCCCTCAGCAATCACCACACCCTTGTCCATGTCTATGCGTCCTTTTTCCTTTTGCAGTGTTTATAGTTAGAGAAAGAAAGTGTTACAGGCAATGATGGAGAGGTAGCGTGATGCCTAGAAAAGACCTGAAAGGAAAACAATACAGTGCTACTGACAGTTGATCAGGGTGGTGGGGTTATCTGTGCTTTTCCTTTCTTTCTTTGTGCTTTTGTGTATTTTCCGAATTTTCTATGAGAAACATGAATAGCTTTTGTAATAAAAATTAAAGGCTTATTTAAAAATTTAAAAGCCCGGGACAGCAGTCTGTCATCAAATAAATATCCCCTCAGTCCGTCTGTCACCTCCATGCCAGGACCAAACAGGGCTCTGCAGATGCCTGAATGCTGTCCCAGCGAGGCACCAATGTGGCTCTTGGCTTGTCCTCCCAGGGGCCTGAGCAGTTAGTGAGACCATTTTTAGCCAATAAGGAGGGAATTTAGCAGGCCACAAATTATTCTTCCCCTTAAATTTCAAACAAACCAGTCATTTGTTTGTTTAACTAGCAGGCTGCAGGGTACCAATAAATTAAACCATTGGCATTCCAAAAGTCTTCACTTTCACACCAAGGAGACAAGTGGAGAAAGGGCTGTAGGGGACTGGTGAGGGTTTGGGGAGGTTATTTCTGAAAGATGTAAGGGATGCCAAGCCACTGCCCTAAGCCAAGGAGTGTTCAGGGAATGAAGAGGCAGGAGGGAAGCTCATGGCACTGGACTCAGCCACCAGATGTGAGGCCACAAGTTGGGCTGGGCACTATAACCACTTACATTTTCCTCAGATCCAGACTGTATCTGGGTCCTCATCCCACCCCAAGGGATTCAGGAATAGAAGGTTCAGCAGTGAATTACTTTGAATTGCCCTTTGAATACCTACACTACCCTGCCATTCTTCTATTATCACCTCTCTTCTCCCCTCCCCCTCCCAACCCTTCAGATGCGAGCGTCAACTGTCTTTACAGCCAAGAGTGTGGGTTTACACTGGGCCATTCCTGACCTGGCAGGTCCCCCTGTGACTGACAACACACATCCACAACCTAGGCCTAGGGCTAGAGCTTCACAACCAGTAACTGCAAATGGTCTGTCTGCTCTCCACCCTCTGGGTGTGTCTAGCTTTGGATGTTCCACGCCTCTTTTCTCTCAAAAAATGAGCTATGAATGCAGGAGGTGCTTTTAAAAATATCTGGTGATGATGAAGCTCCTGTGTGTGGAGAGACTGCTGAGAGAGAGAGAACAAGGAGAACATTCAATTCGGCCAGCTACCGGCCCCCTAGCCCAAGTCCATAGCCAGGTTTGACTAATGGGGTTGATTGTCAAGGCGCAGAAATATGGTCCCTCTCACAGATCATGTTTCCAGCCAGGGTCTGTTATACCTATCAGCAGCAAAGATTCTCCCAGAAGAGGCCCCTTCGTTCCTCCCCTAAAGAACAGGAAGCATTTGTGTCCCAAGAAAAATGTGGTGAGGTGAGGCCTTTGCAATGGGAGGTGACAGACTTGGCCAAGCAATGGAATGTATCACCCGCTCCTCGCCCAAGGTGGGGGTGTAGCTAACTGCAAAGGGGGCCAGCATTTCTAAGGTGGAAACACAAGGGTGGCTCCCTCACCCTGACCCGCCTTCCCTCTGGGCACTGAAGTTCAAGCTACATTTCAGCCTGTCTTTGAAGACACGGAATGAAATTTCCTTGTGCATTCCCATCTCTGCCCCCTCTTCTATTGTGTGAGTTCTTTTTGCTGAATGCCCTGCAGCAGCTAGAGAGCGGTGAGCCCTGCCTCCCCAGCACCCAGACCTGGCTGCCTGGCTCTGTGATCCTAAGGATTCTCAGACAACTGGAGAGGGGACAGCTTCCTGTACTCCAGAGTGTCCAGGACAAGCTCACACAGGCCTCAGGAGCAGGACTGCAGGGCGAAAGGCCCACCCTGTTTGCACAGCTGAAGAACTAGCGGCCCGCCTGCAGGGCAGGGCAGTAAGGAAAATGACCATCCAAATGCCTGCCAGCAGAAAAGGGCTGTGGAAACTAGATGTCCAATGACAAATGTCTGGAAGCAGAGAACCTGTGGGTGTCTAGGGAATTGTGATAAACGCAACGGGAGAAGAGGGCAAAAATCAAGTGAGCCCATCCAATGGCTACTGAGTGCTGCCATTCCAGCTTTCCATCTATGTGGAGCCTAGGGGGTGGGGGCTGTAAGGTGGGCACTCTCTTTCAATGCTGGCACAGGCTCAGCCAGAGCCTAGGATGCTATCCCCCACCCATGCTGCCCCAGGCCCAGTACTGAGTGGGAGGGCGGGCACCTGTAGCCTAATTCAGATCAGGTCAGCAGATTCCACATGCCTGCAGGAAGGTGGGGACTTGGAAATTAGACTCCAGCAGGAAACTTGAGGAGTCCCCAGGGGTCAATTTCTCTCCTCCCAACTCCTCACAATGGAGCAGGGTTCCTTAACCCTTTGTAAGTCATCACCACCAGCCAGGAGGATTTCAACTCACTGTGCTTAATGCAGATAGCATTCTGGAAACATCAGATTACTTATAATAATAATTTCAATTTAAAACGTGTACTATAAAATATGCCTTCCCCAAATACACTCCCTGGGATAGTCCAGTGTCGACCTCTGTACCTTGACTTAAAAATCACTGTAACAACTCTGGCTGGTGTTGCTCAGTGGGTTGAACTCTGGCCTGTGAACCAAAGGGTTTCTGGTTCAATTCCTAGTCAAGGCACATACATGCCTGGGTTGCCAGACAGGTCCCCAGTAGGGGGCACATGAGAGGCAACCACACATTGATGCTTCTCTCCCTTTCTCTCTCCCTTCCCCTCTCTCTAAAAGTAAATAAATGTTTTTTTATTTTAAAAATTATTTTATTGTTGTTCAATTACAGTTGTCTGCATTTTCCCCTCACCCCAGCCAAACCCACCTCCCTCCCTTGCCTCCACTCCACCCCTTGCTTTTGTCCACGTGTCCTTTATAGTTGTTCCTGAAAACCCTTCCCCCCATTACCCCCTTCCCCCTCCCCTCTGGTTATTGCCAGATTGTTCTTAATTTCAATGTCTCTGGTTATATTTTGCTTGCTTTTTTCTTTTATTGATTAGGGTCCTGTTAAAGGTGAGATAAATAAAATCTTTTAAAAAAATCACTATAACAAAGAAAAGCTTAGCTCTCTCCCTCACCTGCTGTTAATATTTGTGTTCTCTGGCACCTTGTGCAATGAAGTCCTTGCAGTGATGAAATGGAGAGTGACAGTCAGGTTATCACCAAATGACCGTGTGCCATGAGCAGAGCCCTTTCCCCTCTCTGGGCCCCAGTCTCCTTTGCCATAAAATGAGCAGGTTAGAATAACAATGATAAGAGCTATCATTTAGGCAGCACTTACTAGGTACCAGGCACTGCTGTAAATACTTCATATTTCCTTATTTAACTCCCCAAATAAGCCTAAGAGGCTACTAAGAGGTAGCCTACTACTAAGAGGTAGTAGATACCACGATTTGTTCTTAATTTACAGATACATTAACCGAGCCACTTCCTAGCTGTGTGCATTTGCTCCCATTCTCAACCTCGCTGTACCTCACCTTCCTTATCTATAGAATGTAAATGAAGTAATTGGTCAAGTAGTAAGTGGCAGAGTCAGCATGTGAATCAAGGCAGTTTGACATCGGAACCCATGCTAATAATCAATATGCTCTAGAGCATCCCACGGGCATGATATCTTAGTTCATTTGGTCATTCAGCAAATATTTACAAAGCCTTTAATAGGAGCCAGGCACAGTTTTAGGGGTTGGGGATACAGCAGTGAACAAGACAGCCCTAATCCCTGTTCACATGGTACAGCTCACAGTCACATGAAGCTAAAGTCTCTTGCAGCTCCGAATGGTGGAATAAACCCAAGAGCAACGTCTCTGAATTCAAAAGGGAGGTGTCCAAAAGGAAACTCGCCAGGAACTCCACTTGACCAAGGGAAGCTATGGACAGGGACAAGGTCATGCCTGGCTCGGTGACCTTGCCTTCTCTTTCCTGATCTTGCAGAGGCCTGGTGAACTGCTGTGCCAAATCCAGCTCACCCAGCTTCCTGCAGCTCTTCCCAAGCCCATGTGCAGTGACATCAGGTTGGCAGCAAAAACCCGGCTATGGTGGAAGTAATGACACTACGGATATCAGCAAATTGCAAACCATGGCAATTTTTCTCCAGCACACCGACCAGCACAGCAGCACTGCTGGCAGGCTGTCTTAGGTGAGCAGCTGCCTTTCCCAATCGACCCCTGACCTTGATAGAATGTTTAGCTGCCCTTCCCATCCTCATTTAGTGAACCTCAATCCTGCTTCTCTTGTATGTTTTTTTCCAAGTTCAACAGAGCCCAGTTGCGCCTGGAATCCTGAGCAGCTTCAAAGTAAATATTATCATTATGAGCCTTTGTGCTCCTCACAGGAATCGCTGTTGCTGGCACATTTGAAGAGCTGAGTCTCTTTGGGGCTCTTTCGCAGCAGAGCGCTTGTACTGCTAACTCTGGTGGCTCTTCTCACGCCTCCTGTACTGTATCTAGGATGATCATGAAATCCTAGCAATTTCCAAAGCCGAGCAACTAGTAAATACTTTTATGGCGGGAGAGGAACCTCACCCTACTCAGTAACTATTGTCAACCCTAGAGAATCTACGGTATTGAAGAGGAGTCATAATATGCTCACACCCATGTGCTAGCCCTCTAAAAACAATCACTGTAGGTTCCATTTACTGGTACCCTGACGTATCAATGCGGCTCTGGATTCATAAAAACTCCCTCTCCCAATCCCAACATGCACATGCGCAAACATGTACATATACACACCAGGTACCCAGTGTGCTGGGCTTGAGCCTAATACTCAGCAGTCCAGCACCAAGATAAATAATACTGTGCCAAAAATAGCCTAGGTCTCTTAATAATGGAAGCTAGTGCTACCATAATTTTACACTTAAAATGCCCTATTAGAGAAGAAAAGAAAATTCCTTCAGGAAACGTTTTCTACGCCCAAACAGTCATTAAGGGAGTAAACCTGACAGTTATGCACAGGCGGTAGACCGGCATGAAGCCATGGTCACTGAAAATCCTGGGAGAGAAAAGATCACCTTCAGCAGCCAAGCTACGAACCCCTCGCCAAGTCAGCAGCAGGACCGAGCCGATAGCTGCGCCAAGATTGCAGCCTTAGAGCCACTCTAAACTGCTTGTGACCTTCGCCCAAATTGTGGGCTCTCTGAGCAATGACAGGGTCGAAAGCACAGACAGAGAGTAGAAGAATGCATGAGTTGTAGGCTTTTTTGGATCAGGGATGAAGAATGAAATTCAACCAGTCCAGGCTACTGCATTGAATGGTTGTACTTACAGGGCTAAGACGGGAGCTACCAGGGCAGCCACTTTCTGAAACGTGGCATGACAGGAAAGAAAGAGACAGGGCGACTGTTTGGGGATGAGAGTCTCCTTCCTACCCCTCCCCTGTTGGGGGGTCTTTCCCAGGCAGCTGAGCAAGGCCATCCCAGCAGGTACACACTGGAGCAGTCATAGCTGTACAATGCCTGGGCGGGAAACTCAAGGACAGGGCTTTACTATTTCTCCCACTTGCTTTGCCATGAGCTTGGCTGCCCCTTCCTCTGGTCCAGAGGGGAGCCTGTGACCTGCATGTTCAATTACCCTACATGCCTGCCTTCAGAGAGCTATTCTAATTTACATGGCCTCCCTCCTAACGCTTTATTGGCCCATGTAATTGGTTGAGAGGTTACTTGGTGTGAGTGTGTCATTTCACTTCTCATCTCCTTAACTCCACTATAGGTCATAGAGAGCTCTGGGAAGAATGCCAACAGAATCCAATATCTTTGTGTGGAAAATTTCAGTAATCAAATATTATGTAAAATAAGTTGGCCACCACCCAAAGATTGGAGAGATTTGGCAGTGCTAATATTAGATGTAATAGCATTTGATCTTGATGTCAATCACCAGGACTTCTATTTATTTTGTATCCTTCTCCTAATGGCAACTAACCATAATCATCAGAGGATTTCTGGCATTTGATGAATTAAACAACCCAGATCTGGACTCTTTAAGTCCCATGATATGAAATTCTGTGGAGCACATATTGGGTTGGCCAAAAAGTTCGTTCATCTATTTCTGGATGATGGCTCTAGTAGCACTTAGTTGTCTTAAACTTTATTCCAAACAACTCTGTTAGATTGTAGTACTGTGACAGCTGTCATATCAGCATGCATGCATTTTTAAAAGACATCAGAATTGGTGAATTTCTGTGTAGCTATTTGAATACTGAAGATGGAAGAAAATAAGCCACATTTTTGGCATATTGTGCTTTATTATTTCAAGAAAGTTAGAAACACACGCAAAAAGATCTGTGCAGTGCAAAGAGAAGGAGCTGTGACTGATCGAACATGTCAGAAATGCTTTGCCAATTTTCCTGCTGGAGATTTCTCGCTGGACGATGCTCCACAGTCGGGCAGATCAGTTGAAGTTGATAGCAATGGAATTGAGACATTACTTGAGGACAATCATGTCATACCACATGGGAGACAGCCGACATACTCAACATATCCAAATCAATAACGCTATTGGTGAAAATAAAAAATGCATCTTTCATTTTATGGACAAAACTGAACAGACTTTTTGGCCAACTCAATATTTTCATTTCATAGGTTCCAAAGCCAGTGTGTGGAAGTGAGTCACTCAACTACTGAGTGGGCCTCGCTGACTGCCCGCCATCCATGTTTGGAAGCGACTTTGTCGTGCTCTACCTGCCCTTAAGTGTGCAGTTACTCTCCTACAGAAAATGATGTGGAAGTGCTGGGTGCGGATGGAGAAGAAAAAATAGAGTCCCAGAAAAGGAATGACATCATTTAGAAAACAGAACTTTAGACTACATTAAAGAAAAATATCCCATTCAGGAGTAGCTCAGATCCTCAACATGAATGACTTCCCCATATGCTGTATACAAAAATAAGATGAGAAAATTAGCAGAAGTAGTCCAACCAGCATGAAAACTGGCTTTATTATGGTATTATACAATTATTAAGGTTTAGAAATAGATCAATGAAAATATGCAGGTATGCTTTACCGTGGTGTGTAGTGAAAATTATATGTTATGATCGTGTTTGCAAATTTGGGATTTTTTTAAGGTCTAAGGAGAGATTCTTAAAGAATGGGAAGGAACTGTTGTTCCTCGTATTTGGTTGGTGCTTGAGTTTCCCAAATGCTTTTGTGTTCTCAAGACACGTTGCTAGTGGCAGTTAGAAAAGCACAGGGATGAACAAAGGGTCAGCCAGACCTGGGTCCTTCTCATGGCTCTACTACTTATTCTGTGTTGCCTCAGGTAAGTCCCTTATCCTCCCTAAGTTTCTGGGTCTCCATCTGTTCAATGAGGATATAAATGCTATTCACTGTGCTCACTTTGCAAAGCCCTAGTAAGGACCCAAATTGCTACTATGGAAAAGTGTTTGAGAAGCATAAGTGGTTCATGTGGGGCCCCACAGCATGTGGGGCTGTGGATAATGCACACTGCTTTGCCCAAACTTTTGAGAGAAAAATAAGGATGTGCACTGTATATGGGTATAATGATTATATACCATGGGGATAATAGTGAGTTTAATAATCCTGTGTATAACACGCGCAAAAACATGGGTGTGCATTATACACAGCAAAACATGGTAACTTGTTCATTCCTTGCACAAACATCATTGAACTCTCTTTGTGCTATGATTAGTATATCAGAGGTGACTAAGATGTGTTTCCTACATTTGAGACTGAAGTCCAGAGATACACATAAAGGGAATAAAAGAACCTGGCACACAGCTGTGTGATCCTTGCACTTGATCTTCAACTTTACCAAGCATAGCGGGGCTGCAGAGAAAACTGACAGAACCAATTCACTGCCCACAGCTGGTGGGCAGGCACCTTTCTGCAGCCATTACCTTCCTCCCAGTTCTGCTGTGGCTCCTGTTTTCTGCAGTCAAAATGAACCTGACAGCAATAGCTGAGCCAGCCAGCTCCCTTGCAAAATTTCCACTGGGTAACACACAGCTCAGTTTCCCCCGAGGTATGACCACATATTCTTGCCTGACCAGGGAAAATATCATTACAGCCAGCTGTTTACAAAAACAAGCAGAAGGGTAAAAGAAGAAAGAGAGGGGAAACGCTCTTGCAAGTAGATCAGAATGACATGCTATTTAACCTAATTACCTGCAAAGCCACATCCAGCCATTAAGGGTCCATTTTCTCTAATAGAATTTTCTGCTATGGAAATACTCACCCACACACAGGATGTTAAAGCAGAAGCCCTGGCTGACTGACTTATTCACCAGCTGGTCAGGCAAGCTGTCAAACCCCACATGTCCAGCCAGGGGGACAGTTCGGCAACCTTCACCCTAATTTGGAAGAGGAAGGGGGAGAGAAAATAAAAATGTGCTTACAAGCAATCTGGGCCTCACTTCTCCATCCAAATAATCTCCATGCTAGGAAGTAACACCCACCCAGGCCCCATAATGAATGTCACCATAGTTCCAGACAAAGCAAATTACAGAGGGGCTTATAAAGGGCAGACGGGAAGGATCATGGGATGAGACTGCTGTTGCCAGAGGTTCACAGGCTTGGGATAACTCTGAACTCAAATCATTGAAAAGCTGGGTAACTTCTCAGATCCTCTGTTTCCTTCTCCATCTATCATAGGACATATTACTTATCTTACAGGTAATTGGGAGACTTAAATGTGCTCCTACATATAACAAACTTAGAACAATGCCTGGTACATGCATAAGTGTTCAGTAAATATTACAAAAGGACTTCAATTACCCTTCTGTCTGGGGCATTTTGGGGATCTACAATGGTGGCCCTGTGTAGATGTTAAGAGACTACGCTTTGACAAGATATGGAAGCAGCCCAAGTGCCCATCAGTAGATAAATGGATAAAAAAGCTGTGGTACATTCACACAATGGCACACTACTCAGCCATAAGAAAAGAAGAAAATCATACTTTTTGAGACAGCATGGATGGGCATGCAGAGTATTATGCTAAAGGAAATAAGCTGGTCAGGGAAAAATAAATACCATATGTTTTCACTTATATGTGAAATCTAATGAAATAAACTAACAAACAAAACAGAAATAGACTCACAGACACAGAGAACAGACAGTTGTCAGAGAGGAGGGAGGCTTGGGGCTGGGTGAAAAAGGTGAAGGCATTAAACGGTACAGTTTGGTAGTTACAGAAAAGTCACAGAGATGTGGGTTACAGCATAGGGAACATAGTCAAGAATATCGTGATAACTGCGTGTGGGGCCAGGAGGGTATTTGAAGCAGTGGAGGGACCGCTCATATGAAGTATATGATTTTCCAACCACTATGCTGTACATCTGAAACTAAAACAGAATAATACTGAATGTAAACTGTAATGGGAAAAAAGTGTAAAAAAAGAGACTAAATTTGGAAATCAGGCAGGTCTGAATTACAGTACCACCTCCTCTATCTACCTTCTGACCTTGGACAAGTTGCTTAACTTCTCAAAGTGTCCCCACCTGTAAAATCAGGAACCAGTGTTACTACCTCACAGGACTGTGAGAGGGTTAGGTAGGGTAATACTCCTCAAGCACTGAGCATCCCATCAATAGTAGCTGTTGTTCTTATCACACCGGGAGGTTATCCTTGCACTGAGACTCCCCCAATAACATGCGACACCACAGCACACTTGCTGCAGCTCACTGCGGTGAGATGCCTGCCTCGTTGCTTCCTCTGGTCCCCTTGTCTCCATCGGGGTCTGCCTAACCATTCACAACCCTGAAAGGCAGGGGCCTTTGCCTTGCATGCAATTCCCAAAGCTTCTTCCTGTTAATGGTTTTACAAAACAGGGGGAACCTCAAACTGGGGCAGGCTTCCAAGGAGCCAGGGGGAGGGACAAAAGGGGGCTGCATATACTCAAAAGGATGTGTTAACTGCCAATAGCAGCGAGGGAGGGGAAAAGGAAAGAGAAGGAAAGCTGGAGACAGCCAAGCTAGACAAGAGGGGTGGGCTAGGTAAACAGTCAGTGTCTGTTGGGTGGGGCTACACCAAGCTTTCCATAACCAGAAAGGTGCCAAGAGTAATCCAAGAAGGACATGGTTAGTGCCAAGAGGCCTATGCCAACATCCCAGGCTGTCAGCCTGCTTTCAGACTAGGTCCATAAAGGCATACTTTCCCACTGAGAGGGATGTGCTGCATTGCTGGGGAGCCTCATAGCAGCTGACAGTGCCCGCACTGGTTTCCCAGATGGCCCCTTCACCTAGTTTGGGATCCCACTTCCATTGGTTTCATCGGATACTCCAAGAATGAGACACAGGGCTAAGTGCCAGTGGATTGCCTGCCGCCTGGCAAGTTCATTACCCTCACACACGCACCCAGTGGAGTATTCTTGAAACATGACCATCTGCCATCCTTCAGTCCAGGTTGGAGTTCTCTGGGCCCCAGTGGGGCACCTGAAGACAGCTGGGTTTCATGAGTGGCCCACATCATGCAGGGTTTGTTCGACATTCACCCCTTTTCACATCCCCTCACCCCTTTCTCCTTATTCTTTTTATTAAAGCAAACAAAAAAAGATGTAAGTTCCCCACTGTTCATTCTTGGTCCTCAACACAGCAGGGAGACAAGACTTATGAGCCAAAGCTACTTTCTCGATGGAGCCTCCTGCATAGCAGGCATCGGAAATTGGGAGGGACTCGGAGCTGAGGTTTCCTGAACCATATTTTATCGCCCCTGGATGCCTCTTCCTGTCTCCAACTGCAGCACCATGAGACTTCAAGTACTCCAAGGTCTCCGGTCCAAGTGCCAAAAGGCGAGGAAATGGAATTTTCAAACTGAAAACAGTGGAGGGCAATGGGGAGCACGCCATACCTTATCCTTAAAGATTTACTTCACTGTCAAAGGCTTACCAAGCACCTCCCATGTGCCCACCTATTACCTCCCACTTAGCACAGTACTGAAAAGAGCTCTAAACAGCAAAAAGAAAAAGGTAAGGGGGGCATTTTGAGTGTTTTGAGCAGGGAGGGCCAGACAAGTAGCATTTTCGAAAGATCATGCCAGAGGCAGGTTGCTGAAGTGACTGAAGGAGAGAAAGGGAAGGAAGACACATTCGCGGATGACTCCAATAACATCGAAGTGGTAGAGTGGCATCCGGGCACTATAATAATATATGCTGTGAAGTGAACTGATTTGACTTGAGACTCAGGAAGGAGAAACAAATTTGAGAGATGTCCTACCGAAGGGAGGAGACTCAATGAGCGACTGGGCAGAGGGAATGAGGGAGAAGTCAAATCCCTAAGGCTGCAACGTTCTAAGCCTGGGAGCTTGGATTGACGGCACCATGGCCAGAAAGAGGGAAGCCAAGAAAAGGGGCTCCTTTAGTGGGGATGTCAAGGAGTCTGGTTTTAAATAAGCTACTAAAAGAAAATACACTTGTCAGGCTTTTTTTTTTTATTTTACAAAAGTAATTAATGTTCACTGTAGATATTTTAGAACATGGAAAATTGTAAAGGAGAAAATCACAATCACCCATAATATCACTCTCCAGAAATAAACACTGTTAATGTTTACATGTATTTCCCTCCGGTCTGTACATATTTTTTCTGACAAAAAAGGGATCATTCGGTATATTCCTTGTCATACACTGACTTAATAATCTGACATTCAATATAGTATGGATGTCTTCTTGAGTATTTAAGTATACCTCTTTTTAATTTTTTATTTTTCAATTACAGTTGACATTCAACATTACATTAGTTTCAGGTGTACAGCATAGTATTACTAATATTAAACACACTTAATATAAATATGTAAGATTAAGTACACTCCCAAAACATTACTTTTATCATCACCCAGCATTCCCTTGCAGGAGTTTACTAAATTTTCTTACCAGTCTTCCACTGCTGGACATTTAGCATGCTTCCATATTTTCAACAACATAAAGGATAATTCTTGTTCTTATAGATTAGTATATCTCTAATTATTTCCTTAATTGAAATGCCTAGAATTGAAGCCCACTGGACCCAAGGGCACACACATTTGCAAGATTTGGGGACACACTGAGAATCAGTCAACAAAGAATAATACAAATGTCTGTTGCCACCACCAATATACAAGAGTGTGTGTTTACCCACACACAGAATGACACTGAGTTTCTGAAGCTTTTTAGCTATTGTGAATGGAGTCACTGAAAAATGTCATCATGTCGTTTCATTCACATTTTATTACTTTTACTGTTTGATATATGTATGTCGTTATATATACCTATATGTGAGTTGTCTGTACATGTCCTTGCCCGTTTTTTAAATAGGTGTTTGTCTTTCTCTTGTGAATTTGTAAAAGATTTTATATATTCATGAAAATAAGATAGTTTTGATTTTATGTGAGATATCCAGGAAAAGAAATTCAGTAAGTACTTAGTAGCATGGGATTATGAGCTCCAGGAGAATTCAGGACTGGGATATAAATTTAGGAGTCAGAGGCATGAAACTGGGTACATTCTACAAGGGATACTACAGGGAGAAAAGAGCTAAAGATTGAATATAGGAAATACGCACAAGTAAGGAATGGAAAGACGAAGAGGATTTTTTCAAAAGGAGGAAATGATCAGGTAAGAGATGACCCAATAGTTTTCTATCCCTGGAGGCCAAGGTTAAAGCCAGGAAGAATTACAGAGAAATAAATAACCATTGATCTGGATTTGCTGAAGGTCACTGGTGATGTTTGGAATCCTTATTTCTTCTGTATTTTTTAAAAAGATTTTATTTATTTATCTTTACAGGGGAAGGGAAGGAGAGAGGGAGAGAAACATCAATGTATGGTTGCCTTTTGTGCATCCCCTGCTGGGAACTGGCCTGCAACCCAGGCATGTGCCCTGACTGGGAATCGAACTGCGATTGTCTGGTTCACAGGCCCGCACTCAATCCACTGAGCTACACCAGCCAGGGCCTCTTCTGTATTTTTTACCCAGTGTCCAATATACCTAAATTAACTGGAAAGTTCAGGGACTAGGGAACACGGAATCTAGTTAATGTGGGGTTTTGTTTGTTTGTTTGAGCAGCAAACTTTTTGTTTCAATGCTTGTTGAGAAGGCTTCGACAATGTAGTATTTGTATATATAGTTCCTGCTTTAGGAAATCCTGTCTAGTGAGTACCATTCACTCTCACTTTGATGAATCTTATAAAATGTGAAGGTCACCTTTATGAATATCAGTCCTCACTGTTCAGAGATAAATATGTAGAAGTAAAAAGGACAGGACGCTGACCTGAATGTACACTGGTCCCAGAACAGCCCCTGGAGGTTTCTTCCCCTCTCCCTCACTCAACCTCTGGTATCTTCTCTCTTTCCTCTTTCTGCATAAGGTGGCCTGATTAATTG